AACTCAAGGCGGGCCTCAGCTAAGCTAAGGCGCAAGCCTCATTAAAAAAGCTCGAGGCATTTTTCACTGGAATTACGCTAAGGATCGAGGTTGGCCTCAAGGCGAGCCTCATATTGCACAATTTTAAAAAATGGGGGAAACGACCGCTACACAAATGTTTTTTTTTTCTTGGATTCGATGGAGGTCAACACAAACTTTATACAAACAAGTATTGAGTTGTTCTCAAGGGTACTAATTCACTTATATTTCATGTCACCTATAACTCACAGGTGCTAGAATATGCATAAGAATAAAATTAACATCCATGATATGAGAATAGAAAGAAATATTTAATTAACAAAAAATAGCTCTGACTATTCATGGAGAACAGGATAAAGTTAGTTTACCCTAAAAGTTGCAAACACATCTGATGCTATGTCAAAATTTGGAAGCTGCAAATAGTCAAAAAACTTTTTCATGTGTTCAGACTCCAGAACAGACCTACAAAGAAATAATCAAATACAAAAAAGGTTAATTAAATTAAAAATAGCAATTCATCAAAAAACAGATAATCGGTAGAGGAAATGACATCAGATCCTTCTGAAAGAATTATAGATCTGAAGAAAATTGATGGCATATTTCTTTATCTATGAAGGGTTACAAATGAGTAAAAGAACTAAACATGATGAAGATGTATGTATCTAATTAATTAGTTTGAATGAAGGAGTATAAAGCCGAAGGATGAATGTCCACTGTCCAGCAATCCTATATCAAGTAATTCTTATAAAAAAGCAAGTATTGCTACTTCTCGCAATTTCGATCCACCTATACCTTGCAATACTTTGATGTCTGATGCACTCCCTCAACATGGCACCATAATGTAAGGCGATATCCATATTGTTATATCTGCATTAATAATACATCAAGTGTTAAGAGAACCCACAAAAAAATCTAAAATAAAAAATCTTCTACAGCAAAGACACATGAAGCTATCATTTACAGAGGCTTCGTTTGGGACGGCTTTTTTACTATTTCCTAAAGCAGTTTTTTAGTATAAAAAATTTATTTGTTGTACTAAAAAGTTGCTTTAAGAAGCAGTAAGAAAACCTCCCAAACAAACCAGAGTTTAGTTTGTATGAAATATTCATCGATGCCTAAAAAGCTAATATTTCTTCCTCCTTTACATTTACAGAGTTTAGTTTGTATGAAATATTCATTGATGCCTAAAAAGCTAATATTTCTTCCTCCTTTACCAATCCGAAATTTTAATTTCTAATTGAATTCAAAGTTATACTACGCTAAGGCCCTGAATATAGAACTGGTTCAAAAGCAATAGCTCACCCAGATATTAAAATGCCCAAAAGGTCTTTGTTTGCTTCCAAATAATCAGAAGCAATTAATCGTGAATGAACCGGCTGCCTTTGCAAATTTGCAACTACTTGAGTAGCATCTTTTTGAGCCTACAAAAAGCACAAATGAAAACATTTACAATGAAGAATAGATATTCTGCATATCAAGTAGAATAGGATAAGCACTGATACATAACAAAGGCTTAAAACTATATAACTATATAACTAGCTCAAATCAATTCTTAAAAGCTAACTAGCAGGAATTAACCGTCACAAATTAGGTTGTAGAGGTACCTCAAGGTTCAATTTTGGAAGACAAATTATGAGAAGACGTAGTGTGTTCTCTCTGAAAAATTCTTTAGTCAATTGTGCACATACTTCAGGCACCGGTTCAGCTTCACTGTCCCCATATAACAAAGATTTCAACTCCCGAATCAATTTACAAAGCTCGGCGATCTGTAGTAGACATATTATATGAATACCAGGAACAGTAATAAAATCAACCAGCATTAACAATTTTTAATAAACATTTGTGATAAGAACAGGCCAGAATTTGAATATTTTTAAAGCACATCATTCCCAATCAGCAAAATGCCAATGCAAGACACTTAAATGGCCCAATAATCCGCACCAAACAAAGTAAAACCATAAAACAACACTTTTCGTAATCTACTTCTCATCAAATTAGAATCACTTAGCCTGCGGTTTTGGGAAAAGCCAAGAACAAACAATAGAAACCAAACATTGCAGTAGAACAGGGGAAACAATTTCAAAACGACAATCACAGCTACAAAATGAGAGAGGCAGTATTAAAAGAAGACAATGAGAAATGAAACCTTCTCCTCGCGTTTGCCATCGTGAGTATTCGATTTCATATCAATGTATACAAGGAGATCGCGGGTTTGCCTCACGATCTCGGCCGGCGTCCGTGGCTTTGACTTGAAGATCCCTTTCAACCTCTTCCTCTTCCCCTTGGGAAGAACGCTCAACCACGCACTACAGATTGCCATAATTAGGGTTCCCGCTGGATATCGGCGGCGCTGCCGCTAAAAATCCCGGCTAAGGGGCGGCGTGCAATAGCGGCGAATCATCCTCGAAAGCGAGCAGCAGCAGTGACCGGCCATCATCTATGCTATGCGAGGAGAGAGAAATAAGAACGATAACAAGAGAGGAAGAGAGAGAACATCCCGTAATATAATTTAAGTGGCTCAATGATGTTAGAATTAAACAATTTTGAACTTGTTGGATTTATCTCTTCAAGCCGCTCAATTCTATTATAAGAATATTATATTTGGACATTATTTGATCATCCAATTAATATTCTAAAACTTTTCAATGTACTTTAAGCTTTGATTTGAGTCCATTTGGGCTCGGATTGAACCAATGTTAATGTTGTTGGGTTTGTCTTAGTGGGATGTTCATTTTGACTGTAAGTTTATTGAAATTAGTATTCGGATGATCCTAAATTTAATTTTGAAAGTTGCCAACTAAGACATGTCTCGAGATTTGTGCTGGATCATGATGATTTTTTTATATCAAGAGTCAATTAACCATTTTGAATATATATATACACACCTATATGGCTATATATACACCTATATTTATTATGTTTATAACATATGATAAGGTTGAGGCATATTTTACTTTTTCTTATGTTTTTATGGGGTTTAACTTATATAGCACTCTAAATTATAACATTTACATAATCAACATACATCAATATTTACATAATAAATATATAATATTCTATTAATTTTCAATAAAAATCTTGTTGGAAATATCAACGATGAAGAAGAAGTCGAGACAAGTTAATGTAGGACGACAAATATGAAATGAAGAAAATAGGATGAGATCTGGTTGGAAATGATGACAACATGATTATTTTTGGGAAAATACTGGCGTGTGTGCTGGCAAAGAGCAATAAGATGTTGCTGGCAAAGGGTGATGAAATTGATGATGTTTAAGAGACAAGAAATTTGATGAAGTGAAACTGATCGTAACGAAGAGGGTGAAGAAGATGTTTTTTTCTGATATATGTTGTTTTGATCGTTATGTAAGAAGATAGTGAAGTTTAGATATTAAATATATAAATAGAGTAATCTTAAATGTTTTGTTTATCATGTGCATTTAGGTAAATGATGTCATTTGTTTATCGAGTAATTATCCACAATATAGAAAATGCTAATTCTTTAAAAAAATAATAGAAAAGTATCCATATTTTTATAGTTTAGATATTTCTTTCTACTATGGCATAAGGCAAAATATGTCTTTTAGAAATTTCATTTCATATATTTGGTGCCTCTATGTATTCTTGATAAATTATGGGAACATTTATGAATCTATGATCTTAAGTGCAAATAGGGAGAATTTCTATCATATTTTTTTATTAAAAGTCAAAATATATCAATACATTTTAAAATACTTGATTATGGATTAGTCTCTTCTAATTAAAAAAAAAATAAGATTAAATATCATTTTAAATGTGCTAATGTTAAAGATACTTTAATGAAACTTTGAGCTATGTAGTAAAAGATGTCCACAATCAAATCCTCCTTATTGTTGCTCTATACAATGATTGGAAGATCTTGAAGCACAGTGTCACTAATGCAAGTCTTCACAATAAAATTCAAGTGCTTGTTTGCATTCCCTATTACTAATGATATATTTATGTCAATACATGTATATAGGGATATGCCCATATACAAAATGAAATACATTATCATACATGATATGTACCGATGAAATAATGCAGATATGATACAATGCCCTAAATAGGGTATGAATGTAATCGGATAGACTTTGTCATGAATCATGATTGCATTGCATATGATATTGATTCAGTTAGCTAACATGATTCAATAAATGATCACATGCATATTGTTGTATTTTTTTATATTGCATGCAATTGTAGATTCTTTGTGATTGAATTTTATTTACATTTTTATGAAAATTCTTGCATGATAGACAAAGATTCTTACATTATTATCATGAAATATTGTTATAGTATTGTTGCGTCCTGGAATATTCGCGGCGGTAGAGAAATATATGGTTTAACGTCTTAGCGTTGTACGAAGATCCAGCACACAATCAGATAAGTGAGAGGGTGTAGCGTTCATAAGAGACACCAAAGTTTTTACGTGGAAAACCCCTGAAAAAGGGGGAAAAACCACGGGGCTTGGCCCAGTTTGAATGAATCCACTAGTAATTGTAGTCGATTACAAATGAGGCCCTTCCTTGGGAGAAGGCCTTGGATTGATGTAACAAATGTACATCATTTGCTGAAATCGGAGTTGGGGTGCTCTCGGAATTAATTTTTGTAGTTTCCAACTAGCTTTTGCCTCGAGATTTGTGCCCGATCAAGCTAATTTTGTGATGCCGTATCAAGTATTGTTGCATCCTGGAATATTCACATCGATAGATAAATATAAAGTTTAACTTATTATTTTTGTATGAAAATTCAACACACAAATAGATAAAAGATAGGGATATAACATTCATAAGAGACACTAAAACATTATGTGAAAAAAACCTGAAAAAGAAAAAACTATGAGGCCTGACTTAGTTTGAGTGAATCAACTAATATTGATGGTTGATTATAAATAAAACCCCCCTTCAGAGGAGGGTGTTAACTCAATGTAGCAAATAACCATTATATAGAGCTCATTACATAGTAGTTGTTCTTAAAAGAGTGTTAACATGTCTATTTGGTCAGTATGACTGTAGTTCGGGCAACGGAGGTCGAAGGGATCATAGTCATAATCGGAAGATGACGAAGGTCAGAGGGATTATAGTTAGCAGGTGACATTGGTCAGAGGGGACTGTAGTCGATGGGCGATGCTTGTCGGAGGGACTGTAGTCAGCGGGTGACAATGATCGAAGTGGACCATAGTCGATGAGTGATGGTAGCTAGAGAGACCAAAGTTGGCTACTAGGAGGTGGTTAGAGACCGAAGTAGGCTATCAGGTAGTGGTCCAACGATGATTGAGCAGAAGTCCGACGGATAAGCGGTAGTCTGACGACTGTCGGCGGTCAAGCAGTGGTCCAATGAAAGTTCCCCGATGATCGTGCTTGGGTAGAATTCTAGGATCCTTGAAACTTCAGAGCTATCTCCAATCTCCAACTAAATGTTCCAATTCATTCTTTCATGTAAAATGCTATTTATAGATTTTTTAGAGTGATATACCCGTAAATATGTAGAAGAACTGGGGAAAATTTGGAGTGCTCCATCATACTGCCCATATTGATCCCCTCGATCATAAAGAGTTTATCAATAATTTATGTGCCTAATTATATGAGAATTAGGTGATCTTGGCCTCATCGGATTTGTCTCATTCAGCAGCTAGATTCGGCTATAAGTATGTTATATTTAGATCTCATTTGGTCATCCACTTTATGCTTTGAACCTTCTAAATATGCTTCGGCCCCTTGATTTGGAGTTATTTGGTTCGAATTGTGCCAACTTTGGTGTTGTTGTATTCTACTCTTTGAGACAACCAGTTTGACTATAATTTTGCTGGAATTGGAGTTCATATAGTCCTAATTTTGATTTCAAAAGTTTCCAACTTGGATTACCTTGAGATTCGTTCATAATAAAGGTAAATTTTTATGACGACCTAATTCAAGATAAATTAAGTCTGCTTAAATTAATCTGATATATATACTCAGCTTTATACTCAATGCTTTAATAGATAAATTTCCTCAAATAACAATCATGATCCAAAAACTTGTTAGGGTGGGCAAACAAAGCATACTCCAGCTCACGCTCTCGTGTGTTCAAAACTACGCACACCTGTGCCCATCGTTATTCCTCCCACAATCTGCATGCCTGTGCTTATTCATAACATGAGCCACTCATTCGATTTTTACTGCAGCCACAATTAAGTCTCCAAGAATTGTTCTTGAATGGTTAAAGATTAGACTCCCAATTCCTCATGCTTTTAATCCAGCACGCCTGATCTCAAGCCCTACTCCTATAGTGCCACATGTTGCAGCCTGCCTCCTACTACTCGAGCCCGAGCCTAAGCCCAAGTTCACCCACGCTTACCTGCATAGTCCCGCAGTACTCCTACCTTATACGAACATCCAGTTCGCTAGTTTTTGCTCTTGTCACTCATGCAAAACCATACATTTGCTAGTTTCTTTCAACTCCCTCAGGCCCGATCACGCACAACCTGCTCACAAGCATGTCCACTGCCTCCGAAACGAGGCTCTAATCTGCCTCTGCACATTGCTCTGCCAGCCCAAGGTCTGCCTTCCTAGCACGAACCCTGCATGCGTCCACCTTTCCGTGAACGTGACCTTCGCTCAGAACACGAACACAAACATCTAGTTAGTGCCCTAACATGGTTCTGCGTGCTCTATTCCAAACACCCTCTCTAGCCTCCTGTCCGCCTCATGCGAAAAATGCTGCTTGAATGTGGCCTTCTAAGTCAAGCTGTTGGGCATGCTTTATCGACAAGCTGACCTCCTCCTCTTCTTGATTACAAGAGACACCTTCCTTAAGATCGCCTCCACTCGGCTCTCTGTCAGGTGATCGCAGGTTACTGTAGACAGAGAGGATCCGAACGGATCTCTGCATTAGGTGACCTAATGCAATAATTCGCCGCTTCTTAGGGGGAGAGAGAGAGAGAGCTAAAAAGGAATTTTATTTATTCCTCTTCAATGGGCTACACAAGGATACCACCCACATCAACCTATAGCATATATATATTAGTATTTACATTAGTGTAATGTCTTGCAGATCAACGCAACTAAAGCTGGACCAATCCTAACAAGGAGGTTACAAGTTCAAATCAATTTACCCGATTTTACCCAATTAGTCTCTAAAAACTCAATTCTTTGTAATCAAACTCATTTTACTAAAATATTAAATCTTCTTACTATTAAAGAGTTCTTTCGTCCTTAACTCGCTTATTCTCTTTAACACTCAATATTTTAAGTATAGTTTGGTGTAATCCTAGAATAATTTTGAATTCAATAATCACATATTTTCGTCCTCAAAAAAAATTTCGGGCATATTTCTCCAATAAACTAACCAACGCGCATATTTATCCAAAATCAAACATCACGGACCATATAAACTGAGATTTCTCGTACACTTTCTAGTTTCAAGCATCCAAATGAGACCTTGTTCTAAAATTACTTCAACTTGCTTAGTTGAAGGTAAATCATATCATGAATCTTAAAT